AAGATAGGGACCCAAAAGGACTGCAAATGAAATCAACTCCAAGTGAGGCCGGACAAACCCCTTTTGAGAACAAAACATAACTGCCACGGGTATCATGAACCCGACTGCATTTGCAACCACGTTCCACATCCGGTAAGTGAAAGGAGGGGCATTTCTGTTATTTTGACTCGGGTTTTGTCTTCGGGCACATGAATCGGCGAGTAGGAGGAAGAGGCTAGCTCCAAGGTTGTAAATGCAGTCAAGACCAGTCAAAGAAAGAAGGCTGGCTACATTGGGCCCAAGGAAAACTGATGAAATTGGTAGCCATAAAGTGGGTACCATTCCTGTAGATAAAAGTAGCACAGGCCCAATTACCCATATTGGCCACTGAAAGTATTGGAACTTCACAACTGGTTCACTGCTTGAGTATGTACTTTTAGTATTGGTTATTGAGGTTTCTTCTACTTCTTCAGTTTTGTTGGAAATAATAGTATCAAATAAACTGGTGGTCCCTTTCAGGACTTCAGTTTCAGCATCATCTTTGACAGCATAAGGTGCAGGTTCCCATGAAGAAGGGTTCGAACAGAAGACAGACACCAGTTTAAGGGGCGTTCTGGGAAAAGTCCCTCCATGGAGAATTTTTTTATATTTCACCAAATTCTTGTGTTGGTGACGTACATGGGGAAGAGTAACTGCCAATCTTGCGTTTGGGGAGCATGTTAAAGATGCCATACTGTGATTCACAGGTAATGTATTTATGATGTCGAAGTTGGGATATGGCCACAATTATATGGAAGATGTAACAAGTGAGGGGAAATCAATAACATTAATGTTATTTGTGCTCATAAATGGTGTTAGAAAACTGAAAGATGCAATATACTAGTTATAAAAAGAGAAATGTTTCTAATACAAAACACTTTTTAGGGGTAAGAGGAGTAACTGAGAGCATAAATCTACAATTAACAACATCAGTAGAAAAAGATACATCATTTAATCCTTTGGTTCTAAAGTGGGGAGAGATGAATATATATAAAAATGTGTGTGGTTCGGTGAGAGAGCGAGGAAAAATTAGTTCTTTTTCACAAAAAACAAAGTATATAAAACTATTGTATTTGATATGCTTTTGGTTTCACATAAAAAAACAATGACAGTCTATATGTAATGTACCAGCAATAATATAGAGTAGAACAATTTACATAAAAATAATGAAAATAAATTTAATGATAACTCTCCTTAAGTCCCTCAAATGGGAGGACTAACAAACAACTGAGGAGTTTGGAGGATTAATAACTCCTTGACCCCCCCCCCCCCCTCCCCCCGAAAGTAACACTTTAGAGTCGTCTACCAAACATAGGCTTAGTTTCAAGAGCATTTTAGGGTATTAACTATTAAGTGAACACTCTAAACGGTCATTAACATGTTCCATAATTTCCAATGGAGCCAAATACACACTATTTTTTTGGCTTAAGAATATGATGGAATAAAGCAAAATGGCTCACTAAATTGTCTGCACTTCCTAGTTATGAAGCAGCAGTCAGTCCATGTAATTTTCGCCGCGATTTCAATCGTGGGTCATCCGGAAACAGTCTTTCTGTGCTTTAGTACATGGGTAAGGCAGCGTATATCTGACCCCCTTACTCCACCGTTGGTGGGAAGCCTTTGCGGCACTAGGTAATGTTGTTGTTGTTGTTGTGGGTGGTCATTAACCTTTTAATGCTCTTCGCTTACCAGGAATTATAATTCATAATATTCATTTAAACATAAGTCGACCATTCTATAAATTCATTCACATTTTTAAATAAGGCGATAGGTATATACTGTATACGTACTATCTTACCATCTATTCATGGACAAGATATGTTGATTCATATTTCATAAAACATTACTCCACCATTGCAAAATATTATTCTAATCCTTTGAAGTGGATCGCCAGAGGTTGTTCAATTCGTTCGCAAGTGCAATGCACATTAAAACAAGAAAAAAAAAAAATCTGCTGAATCTAGAGAGAAATAAACACCAGATCATTGATAATCAGGGTGCATGCCAATTTTTTACCGCAAAACAATGGCTTTATCACTTAAGCTTTATTACTTCAATTAAAGATTAAAGATTCTAGACACTCCTACCCAGAATAGAGGATAAACTGGATACGTTATCTTTATCTCCAAAATAATCATGTATAATTACGAACCCCAACTAATTTTAAAACAGAGTGCAATCTAACCATTGTCCCTTACGTTCCACTTCTCATCAACAGACTAAACAAAATATGGGGCAAAAGAAAACCCAAATAGAAAGCCAAAAGAGAACAGACAGCTCATAAAACAACAATAACTCTTCTTCCGATTCTTTTACTTCGGTGTTGAATTTCTGAAATAGTAAAACAATAAACAGAAACAGGTTTCACATAACAATTTGAAATTTTCAATCAATTTATTTAAGAGGAATTGCCCATAAATTCAGACTTGCATTATGTAATAAGGCTGGTTTAGGTCGGAAATCGCAATTACCTCAATAATAAGCAGTTTATGACATTTGAGAGAAGCAGGACAACAGAGAGCGTAGCTGGCAGCAAACCCTTCAAACTTTCAACCCGAAAGTATGAATGGGGACACTCCGGCTCCTCCGCTCCCAGTTGGCTGATTTGGCTTTGCTCACAGCCTGACACTCACTTTTTTATGGATGCATATTTTATTTTATTCTTTAAATAAGAGTAATTAATGTCCAATGCTACTTCAATGTTTTTACTTGGATTGTTTTCAGTCCCATATCACATCAGACCTAAACAAATTAGATCAGACCAGATCGGACGTAAACAGACCAGATCAGGCCAGACTTAAACAGACCAGACTTTACTTCCGTAGTTATAAAATACATAAAGAACAGACATTTACCAAATTAGACCAGACCTGTTCAGACCATATCAGACTTAAACAGAACAAAGCTGATCAGAACAGACCTAAACAGACCAGACCAGCAAATTACAGTTTAAGTAAAAACATCCTTAAACATGATGTTAACTACTTGTATTTAGAGAATAAAAATATGATAGTCCTGTTAGGACAATGTTCTTATAGTCATACATTGACGTGAACAAAAAGACATGGAGTGCATTTCAATCGAAACGTAAAAGGAGAAGGGATACAAATATTACCTATAGATTTGTGAAATAAAAAATTGATTAGCTTCCTATATTTTTACAAAAATATGACTAATTTTTCGTTTAATTAATCTACTTTTTCATTGTACTTGATTATACCCAATCTCTACATCTGTCCCCATATCATTTTAGTCACTATCGGGAATCGCCACTGGAAAAGGCACAGTAAAATTTTGATGTTTTTTTCAAGTTTTTATAAAATTTGTCGGCAAAAATCATTGGAAATTTTCTCGACAGTCACATTGACATGTTTTATACCAACAATGACATATGTTATAATTAGTGATACGAAAACCTGACTGTGACATCCGTTAATAACATGAAAATCTAGCATTGACATCGTGTTTTTTTTCAAATATGCATCCTTGTTAAACATTTTTATCCATATGTAAAAGTAGCAAATTTTTTAAGCAAGACCCCAAAATAAAAATGACAAGTATCTATAAATTTAAACTAAATGCTACTCCGGTACAATACACATTAAAATTACGGGTATTGTACCTATAATATATTTCATCATTTATTTATATTCAAATTACCCAAGTGGCAATTGCTATATTTTAATTGATCCACATGTACAAGGTATGGTACCTTGAGGTGTTGTAGAATTTGCCTAAATTAAATTAATTTTAACTCACACCTCTCATCTTTGGGCGCCCCTCATCTTTGAGGCAGTTAACCTTCAAAGAGCATATGTACTGTGGGTTCAAACACACACATGTAACACCTTAGGGGAGAGTGTCTTGTTTCATAATGGAAGTTTTTGTAACTGAATACATATTCAAGTGACAACCAAGCTCCTTATTGGTTTTCATAACTAGCGTCCATGGGCGATATGGGTGGCTAAAAAATGTGATCCAAAAGAAGACATAAGAGGATGCATCAAAACAACATAAAGGCTCTGTTTGGCTGTTTGCAATCTCTATTGATAAGTGTTTTTGGCTTTTTTTAAGAAAAAACACTTATTTTACTAAACACTACTAGCTTTTACTATCTCGGTTTTCGTGTAGAATCTACTTTTAACTTTTTCTATTACACAAAAAGCACTTATTTTACCAAACACTACCAACTTTTACTACTAATCACTTTTTCCCAAAAAGTTCTTTTATTTAAGCACAAGTGGTTGCAAAAGAGTATCGTGTTAGTTTGCGCGCAACAACATTTATTTCAAATTCTCAGTTCGTGTGCAACAACATTTATTTCAACTTCTTCACTAAACATCATCAAGATGTCCTTGTTATAAAGACAAACAGATATAAACATTCTGCACAGGTTGGACATTTATAATCATAAAATAAAAGAGAGAAAACACAAGGATATTACCACTATTCAAACAAGCATTTATATAATATCAAAGGATCGAAGCTGCAGAATTTTAAATAACATTCTGCATGTTGAAACATCTCCACGCACAGAGGCAACTTATAGTATCTGGCTGAATGGTCTTCGATCATTTGGGGAATGACAAACTACAGGGGAATGACTCAAACACATCAAAAGTCCACGTCTTGTTCGATTAGTTTTCACTCATGAAGCAACAACTATTTCACACACCTCCTGAAATGATGTTCACAAAGGGATGTCGACAAACACAATAGATAAACTATGAAAAATATGTTCAACAATCACTATTCATCTACCTTAAACATGACACCTATGTTTGAAGAAGAGTGAGAAAACGAAAGGGAAGCCATGATTGAGAATTGAGATAGAATGAGAATGACAAACTTCAAATGACTTACAAGAGTACGATATGCAATTGGTCAAACCGTGGAACAACAGGAGTAGGAATGATCCAAGTATGAGTAATGAATATATAAATAAATAAGTAAAAGGCCGGATGGAATGCATACACCATATATGCCATCACATTGGGTGAAATTATGAGTATTATATTCAGAAACATAAAAGCTTATAGTCATACAAGGTATTTTTCTCATACAATATAGCTGATTTTCTTTCTTCATGTAATTGTGTGATGAACAAGTTCTGACTCTAGCACCCTCAACAATAAAACTAAGAAACGAGTAAAAAGGTTAAAAGGATAGTCATTAGTGTTAACAGCTTAACATGATCAAGCTGAGTATAATATAAAGTACAATCGTCAAGGAATAGCAATAAGGGGAGGAAGTTGCAATGACTGAATGAGATCAAAGTCTGTTAAAGTAAGAGGCGGGAGGGAAAAGTGACTATAAGTCGAGCTTCCTTTTCTGATTTCTTGCATATTGAGAAGAGCAGCAACATTGTTTCTGAATATACTTTCTCCTCTAAGTGGAACCTTCTCTTGTCCCAACCCCATTGTAATGGTTTCTTCCGAAACCGGGAATATGGTGTTTATAGTGCTCTCACACTCCTTCACCAATTTAGAAACCAGATCAGTGGTGAAGAAGGGTTGTTGAAGAACTTTTTTAATGAAAGGAGGGCGAAGTTGTCCGCCAGTTCTCTTGTCATACTTCTTCAGAATCTTGGCCAAGCCTGTGTAGTTAAGATTGCTGTAGTTTATCAGAAGAATCATTTCCCCATGAAAATCGATAGTGTCTTTCCTGATGTTCATCATTTCTTCTATGTGATATGGCCCCTTGTTATTAACAACTGTTTGTATCCTGTGATGCAATTCCTGCATGCACAATTTCAGTGTTTTAGCCACAATAAATGATACTACGTACGTAATACTAATGAGTCTATAATACATCTAGTGTACTATGCCCATTCTGGCATTCATAAAAGAATGACCTTTATTTCATTCTCATTCGTCCTGCTAACCTACTTTGTATTTTAGACATACATATCAATATTTATTTCTACATATACCCTTCTATATATTTTGGTTAACTATGTAACACTCAAGTCATTAATCACTATATCTTTAATATATAATCCAAATTATGTTGACTGGTGAGCCTCTAGTTCAGTCAAACCATGAAGTATGAGTAGGCGGTAGGCGTGTCAACGGGTCAGATGAGAACCTTTTGAGTTCTATGTCGTTTCAAACCCGACCCATATACCTTGTAGGTCTGAAATTTGTTGGTCTGGTCTAGTCTGAATTGGTCTGGTAAACGTTTGGTCCCTATGTATTTTACAACTACGGAAGTCAAGTCTGGTGGGATCTGGGACTGAAAAAAGTCAAAAGTAAAAACATTTGTGTATTCCAAAATAGGAATATTATGTTTTTATTCCATAAATAGAGATAATTACTGTCATGTTTTTACAGTACCGGATTTTAGATTTTAAAGTAAGCAATATCTTCCTTTACTCTTATTTAGGGAATAAAAATATGACAGTTTTTTTTTTAATTTCAAACGTTTTTACTCTTATTTCAGAACCCCTAACAAGTACTCGTAAGATTTTTTCACATAATTTTTTCTATATTCTCTAATAAAATACTCGTATATGGAGTATTTTAAACATAATTTTTTCAAAATTAAATAAATTTAATCTATTCCAGTATTACCAGTAAAAAATGTAACACCATTAATCAATTTGAGATACAACTAATAAGATTGTAAAACGAAAATAAGCAAGGAACAAATAATAGTAGAAGGATCCTTTAAAAAGAGAGGAGTAGAACGAACGAACGAACCCTGTGGCGGATAATGAAATCCTCTTCTTGCTCCATGAAAAAGGCATTAAACTTCTCAATCTCACTGTTCAGCCGAGAGATAAACGTCGACTCCGCCGGAGACCCGTCGAGGGCAGCCGGCTGAGCCGCCGATATAGCCCTGACCAGCTTCTTCAAGGCCTTGTAGGACAAGAACTGGCGGCGCCACCCTGGCAGTGTCTCCTCGATCTGCTGCTGTAACCGTTTCCCAAACTTCATCGATATACAAATTCTGTGCAATTTTATTCAGGCGGAAATGATGAAGTATGTGAATTTGACGAAAAGCATATATGGGCAGCGGATTTTATGGAGTAAAGAAAAGATCGGGGGTAAGAATATTTTGAGAGGATATGCTCGGCCACACCGCGTGATGAAATAACAAGTAATACAGGTAAAGGATTCTGCAGCATATTCAGTTAGTGGAGTATATAACCATGTATTGATATATGATACAAAAATTCCTTTTGTACACGTTTTTGTACCCATCAGTACACGCATGTGTCTGTGAGAGTTTTTTTTTGTCTGTGAAGTGCGGTCCACAGACAAAAGCTGGTTTGTTTTGTCTGTGAAATTTTCCACAGACAAAACAAGCGAACTTATGTCTGTGGATCGCGCTTCACAGACAAAAAAATACTCTCACAGACACATGCGTGTACTGATGGGTACAAAAATGTGTACACTAAGAATGGTTGTATATGATATACTTGACCGAGTTTGCTTCTCATATCACATCTTGTCTTTCCAATTTCTTTCCAATTTGATTCCAAAATGCAGTAAATATCTTCTCACTTTCCTTTTTTGGACGTAACACTAATATCTTCTCATTTTTAAATCTTCTCATCATACCTTCAATAATTTTAAAAATAATACACTATTACACCTACTTTTTTCGGATTTATCCTTCATTCCATCACATTATTTCACTATCTTCCCATCATACCCCTAATAATACATATCTTCTTTCACTATTCTTAATCTACCTACTTTTCAAATGGGAACATCCCAATGTTACGGAGGTAGTAACACATTATTTTGAGTGACTCATTCTTTTATTTAAGTAAGATTGGAGTCATTTTTTTAATCTAATAGATTGAATCAATTTAATTGCTTCAGTCAACAGTCCATCACTTTGAGCTGATTCAATCGATTCAGTCAATTCTAGTGTTACCGAATGAGTCCTAATTTGAAACTTTTTAAATATTTTTCTATAGAATATTACTTTGAGAAGAAAAAAGGGTTTTTATAAGAATATTAATAAAATAAAACTTATTTACATAAATATGACTATTCATTACTACAATCTAGTATTGTGGTAACTTAAGTTCAAAACTTAGACATGAATTACTATGATTTCATTACTACTCTATTAACTAGTTGTATTTTTGTAAATCATATTTATTTTGGTCATATTTGTGTAATTATTTCAAATATATATATGTGATCTTATTTCAGTTCTTTTAAACAAGGGAAAATTGTACATTTGCTCCCTCAATTAGCCACCATATTGAAATGTCAGACTCATGTTTCCGATATTATAAATGTCACCCCCGAATTGACAACTGTGTTGTAAATATCATTCTCGTCGTTTCTAATCTATCTCCAATTCTAGACTATCCATAAATTTACCGGGATGATATCTACAACACATCTGTCAAATTGGGAGTGACATTTACAATGTCAAATACACGGGTCTGACATTTCAATACGGCGACTGATTGAAAGATCAAAAATGTGATTTTTCCTTTACACAATTTCTTTTAGTAAAATTTGTAGGTTGGAAAATTAAAAAAAAAATGAAACTAGAATTTCATGAAGCTTTGCTTATTACTCATAATTTAGAGTGATCTAATGGGAGCCTCGTGATGAACACACATGTTGTTGGTACACATATTTTGTACACATTTTGTGTACATCCCCTAGTTGTCAATCTATAGATGCAGTTAGTTTAGAAGTGGTCTTATAGACAGACAACTAGAGAGTCTATACAAAAAGTGTACAAAATGTGTTTGGAAATATAGGGGGTGTATGGAAAATGGCGTTCAGCCAAAAATGGTGGTTTGACCCCTCTTAGCTTTTCCAATAAATGAAAACGTTGTTTGGTAAATAGTTGTTCGGCCTAGCATTTTTGGATGGAAGCATTGAAATGGAAATGTTGCAAATAGCAAAGCTCTAGGTTGGTGTTTTGAAAATTTGTGTTTTCTACTAATTTTTATGGCCAAACAGATGGAGTGCCAAACATTTTCTAGCAATTCGCCAACTTATTCCGCTAATCAAATGTTGGTCTTATGGGAGATCAGCACCACCCTTTGATTCAGGGCTTAACCGCCCAACCTGTTGGCACCACAAATTGGTGCAGCCCCTCATGTCCATCCACCGCTCAGTAGTGGGGCTCTGCACTGCCGTAGTGAACTGTGGGAGGTGCCCCACAGGAATCTACCTTGACTTGAGGACTACAGAGTAATGAGTTAAATAGAGGGTGTCCACTTCCTTATCACCAATTGGTTTTAAGAAAGATATGGCTGCTATTTAACCACAGAACTCTGGAGTTAAGCGAGCCCGGGGTAAGAAAGCCCAGGGATGGGTGACCCACTGGGAAGTTTGTCGACAAGGGGTGAATCGATCCAACAAGTGGTATCAGAGCGAGGTCACATGTGAATCTCTCGGCTGGTGCTGGGGGGGGGGGGGGGGGGTGATTGTTGGTCTTATGGGAGATCAGCACCACCCTTTGATTTAGGGCTTAACCGCCCAACCTGTTGGCACCACAAATTGGTGCAGCCCCTCATGTCCATCCACCGCTCAGTAGTGGGGCTCTGCACTGCCGTAGTGAACTGTGGGGGGTGCCCCACAGGAATCTACCTTGACTTGAGGACTATAGAGTAATGAGTTAAATAGAGGGTGTCCACTTCCTTATCACCAATTTGTTTTAAGAAAGATATTGTGAAATTGTAATTAGATGTGAAATTGATATTGATCATTACAGTTCCATCATGTGGATCAAATTGAATAGTATGATTACATGATCTCATATTGGTTGCCAAAGTTTTATAGTTCGTCTTTTCTGGACACTCAATAGAAATCGTCTAGTTTTATTTTTATTTTCTTTGATTGATGTCTATAAATTAGCTTAATTGATGTATTTAGTTTTAAAATATACGGAGTATAATTCGATTTTATATAAGATGTCTATTCAAGAAGATAAAAATATGTTTTGAACTCTACATTTCCACAGACGGAGTCAAGGCACGAACTGGATCAGTACATAAAATATTTTTGAAATATACACAAATTTTTTCCATCCGCTTCATGTCACACGGCCTTTACGGAATTCTGAAAAAGAAAAAAGAAAAGAAAAAAAAAGTGATTTTAATAGACATTAGTTGTCATTGATATCAAGATACACAAAGTCAAAAACAAAAGTCAAATAAATGAAACATCAACTTACTTTTTTCTTTATTAGTTAACTAGCTTTCAAGCCCGTGCGATGCACGGGCAGTATGAAATTTAGCTTATTTGAAATTTAATTTCTTTCGGATCATATGTAATGTGATTTAAAAGAAAAATAAACGTAATCTAATATAGAGCCTGTTTGATAATACTAAATTAAATCGAATTAACTTATTTTTACTGAAATTAATTAAATTCTGGCCGAATGGGCTGAATGGGTGGAATATCCTGAATCATGGAAAAAATGCAAAATATATTCTATTTGTGAAGCCATGAAAAGATTATATAAAAAATAGTTTAATTGATCTTCTACATAAAGAATTCATAATCTCACGTAAATATAATTGTTATGGACCCGATTTTAAAGAATTCACAATCTCACGTCTTCCAAATTACTTTATTATGCACTTGAAGTTTTTTTCTTCTACTATTCCTCATTCAACTTGATGTGAAATACTGAGTACATACTTTTAACTTTGGGATAAGGGTCAGATAGGGCCTCGAACTTGGAAAAAAATGTCAAATAAGGCCATATTTAGGATGCTATGTCCGGATGACGCCATTTGGAGCGGTTCCCGGTGGAATTTTTTGATGAATTTTTTTGAGAATCTTACTCATTAAGTCTAGTTTACTCATATCAAATTTGAACTAACAATTCAATCGGGAAGACATTCAAATGATTTCTTGAAGATAACTGCGCTTTTAACTGCACAGTTATTTTCAAGAATTCATTTGAATGCCTTCCCGATTAAAGTTTTAGTTCAAATTTGATATGAGTAAACTAGACTTGATGAATAAGATTCTAAAAAAAAATTATGAAAAAATTCCACCAGGAACCGCCCCAAACGTCGTCGGCCGGACAGAGCATCCTAAATATGGCCTTATTTGACATTTTTTTTTCAAGTTCGAGGCCCTATCTGACCCTTATCCCTTTAACTTTTAATAATAAGATGTTACATTTTACTCATTATTTTGTCACACCATAAATGTAAAAAAAATGGAGTTTTTTTTTAACATTTTACTCATTATTTTGTTGCATTGAAAACAATTTTTAATTGTTATGAACATCTAAATTACTTTATTTAGCATTTCAAAATAATACATTTCTAGTATTTCTCATTCAACTTGGTATGAAATACACATTTTAAAATTTTAATTGTGAGATGTAACATTTTACTCATTAATAACGACATTTTTAATTGAATTAAAATTTTGGGTTTGATTTGGTATGAATTAATACGGTCTGCGGTCTGGTAGATGTTTGTTTTGCATTTTATGTGATTTATTATTATTATTATTATTATTATTATTATTATTATTATTATTATTATTATTATTATTATTATTGAAGTTTGATATGATCTGATTTAATCTGGAACTGAAATCAATCAAATTAAAAAAGTTCTATTAAAATAAAAGTAGGAATTTGTAAACATTTAAAAATTTTCTAATTTGGATTAGGAATCTATTTCAAAAGTGAAGGTACATTTAAATTGTAGTTAAAATAAAGATATAATCAAACATATTTACTTTTTTGGCTAGGCCTAAACGAATTTACTTGTGAAAATATACATACACGTATGTATTTATGTATGATATCAATTTTCATCCTTATTAAATAAGGTAAGCTATTTGATCAGAAGTATTGTTTTTAAGATTCTATATTAGAATATCTAATAGTTTTAATTTCCTTTTTTAATTTCAATTATATGGTGGTTATAATTTTTATCATTATTTTAATAATCAAGAAAGAATTGTATGAAGATGGAGCAAAATGTGAAGTATTAACACAATTGCAAATCCAGGGCTTAGAATTTTAATCATTATCTCTTTCAAAAAATGAATTTTAATCATTATCTCAACACTGAGTTTAGAAAAATAAACTATTACATTTTAGGAAATGGAACACTATTATTACATTTTTTATTTTATCAAATTACTTTGAAGACAAAATTAATATCAATTTGGCTGATTTATCTGTTAAGTGGGCAAAAAACGAATATTTCATCTCTTTAATAGAATGTAATAAAAAAAATAAACAAGTATAAAAATAATTAAATGATTGTTACTCCGTGAGTCCGTGCTTAAAATTTGGTTATTAATTGTTGTGGTTCCAATTATAGAATTTAATACTTATCAAATACGTAATGAGTTTTGAAAAAGTTACCAAATTAGTTAAGGTGGATTTCTAAGGATTTTGCTTCCATATCAATATACAATCAAAAATAGAATCTGGCTAATAAAAATAGAAGGTATAAAAATAACTAAATAGTTAAAATTTATAATGACATGGCAGGATGAGGTGGCGCTTTGTATGCTATTAAAAAGTTTCTCTTATATATATATATTGATTACGGGAATGGACGTTTATTGTTACTATAACGTTATTTTTAAGATGGAAATATTATATTCGGGGTTTAAATCAGTTGAATGTATATTTGTTTAAGATTCAAACTTAAAAGAATATTCATATTTGATTGAATTACTTTTCTCAAAGCATCCTCACTTATTTCCTAATTATAAAATACATCATACATAATAATATATAAATTTTAAATCTAGCTAGAACTACACTAACAAATGATCAAATGGTGTACAATCACATTTCTTTCTGATGTTTGCTTGATTTGTCACAATGAAAATTTAATAAACATTATACCCGAAACTATTTTACATTTAAAGAAAAAAGCATATGGATTATAAAACAACTAGAAATAATGACTAGAAGACTAAATAACCTTACCAAATGAAATTTAATAATGCGAATTATGTACTTTCCTCTATTCTTTTTTTGCTTACATCGTTTTCATTTTCTCGTTTGTCAATGCACAACTTTGACAATTAATATATTTCATTCATTATTAGTGAAAAATTAAAAAAAAAGTTTTTTGATATTTAAAATGAGAGACATGTACCTATGTTTTTTCAAAAAATTGATTTCTAATACATTTAAATGAGAGGAACTTTACTAATAATTATTTCTAGTTATTACGGAGTATATTTGAATACATGTATTTGAATAAATTTTGAATCGAGTATATCAATATATATATTTATATTTGTACTCAAATAATGTTTGAATCAAAATTATTATTTCTATTTGTGTTTTTCGAATTCAAATAGTTGTTTACGAATTCAAATAAGGGTAAAGTATTTGATCCATATATAACCTTGTCTATGCATGACAGCATGAGGCCCTAGGCTCCAAAGTAGTACATAGTAGTATAGTACTATGTGGAGTGTATCATTGTGAATATTTCCTTTCACAATATTTCTAGACACATGATATATTGAAGTATTGAATGATAATTTTCTTTATTCTAATTTTTCATGAAGTGATTTTAAAAAAATAAATTATTTGAAATAGGAGAAAAATATTATTGAAGTTCTCATATAAGATTATAGGACTAAGGACATTTTCTTTCAAAAATTGAACTTATTCAGTCCATTCAAAAGTATAAAACTATAAAAAGTAATGACTTGAAATTGTACTAAGTTTTACTCATATACAAAAAATTCTCTAAAAAAAATCGATATGATTATACCCTGAACTTATTAGTTCAAAAATGTATATCATGCCTTATTGTCTTGTGTTGATTCTTTAATTAAACCGATTTATATATACTCTTGATTCTTTAATTAAACTGATTTATATATACTCTTGATTCATTAATTAAACCCATTTATATATACTCGTAATGAAGAGAAATGCTTGTCACCTACTCCTCCTTTCCGGTCCCACTTCTTGCTGATCCTGTGGGCCTTCTAAAAGAAACATACAAATCTTTCTAGAAAATGCACACAACTGCACACATTGAGAGTGTAAAACATACACTACCAAGAAAGGAAAATAAAAAGATCACTTTTTTATTCTTCTTCTGCTTCCTTCAATGGAGAAACACACGTATATGTTATGTTCAAGGATTTTTGGCAATGAAAGAGCTTTGCGTGGGCATATAAGATCTCACCAAATGAATCTCAGCACTAGCGAAAGATCAAGAATCCACGAAGAAGAAGTCGAAGAAGAAGACGTTCACCATCAATTCAAATTATCCAAAAGGGTAAGTAAATCAAGAATTTCTGAAATCTAGGATGATGATGAAGTTGCTCATTGTTTGATCATGTTTTCTAAAGACAAATGGGTAAGAGAAGAACCAGAAGACGAAAGTAAGGAAGAAATAAGGAGGAAATATGAGCGTGAAATTGGCAAGAAATTGTTCAGGTCTTATCAGGCATTAGGAGGGCACATGGCAAACCACAAGAATAAGAAGATGAGAGTTGATGGGGTAGAAAATGGAAATAATGGAAATGCAGGGAGCCAGGGGGGAATGTGAGAACTTCTGAAGGTGTCAAATGTTTCAGAGTATTATAAGTTTAACATTTGGAGAGTATTATAAGTTTAACATTTTTAATGAGGTGATTGATACTCAACTCTCTGAATTGGATAGCAAGTTTAATGACAAAACAATCGAGTTACTAAGGCTTAGCACAACACTTGATCCAAAAGAGATGCGTATATCATTCAGAATTGATGATGTCTGCAAACTGGTAGAAAAGTTTTACCCACAAGACTTTGAAGAATATGAGAGTCCAGATTCAACATTTTGAGCATGTTCGCCATCTTCTTGACTTTGGTGCATTGGACTCTATTTCCGATCTAAGTCAGTGGTTGATAAGAACTAGGAAATCAGACATCTACCCCGCTCGTATATAGAGTTGTCACTCTCATTCTTACACTTCCAGTTTCTACAGCAACTACAGAGCGATCTTGTTCTGCTATGAACATCATCAAGACTACCCTACGAAACAAGATGGGAGATGCATATCTTATCGGCGGTTTGGTAGTGAATATTGAGAAGCAAATTGCAAAAGAATTTAGTGTGGACTCTCTAATCGACGATTTTCGTGACATGCAAGAGCGATGTTCTAAATTTTAATTTCCATGACGTTTAATGATGTATTTTTGGATGTTTTTAATGAACACTAGTACATTGTTTAATGTTTATTGCATTTTTATTTTATATGTTATTATTTTTTAATTTCACCCCCTCATAGATATCCTGGCTCCATCCTTGGTGGTGCTACTTGCATAGATAAGTTGTACACATTTCTTGTAGGGATGAACATAAAAACCAAACTGAACCGGCATGTAATGGCACCGAACCGAATACCGGGTTCTTAAACGGTTTTATAGGTTTTTATCCTGAACCAAAACTGTACCACTTGAAACGGGTACAGGACCGGTCCTAAATTTTAAAAACCGAAACATCCGGACTGGACCGTTAAAAAATAATGCATTTGAGATTTTTTTATTTTTTCCGTACCAATAAATCTCTTTTATAGACCAACAATTTTACAACCCAAGTATGTACTCATGCGTCCCAAAGATAGCTAAATGTGTGTGTTTATATATATAAATATTTTATTTTTTGTTTTAGATAATTTATGTTATATTTCGGTATATACTCAAAGAACGCCAAAGTTATAAAAATCATTATTGAATATTAATTTCTAGTAATGCTGTAGTGTATATGACTTTTTGTTGTATCATTTGTGGAGTTCTACAACTTAATTAATACGTAGTATGGTTTAAATCTTAGCTCTCATGTACAACTATAAATTAAATTTGAACTAATATTTAACCTAGAACAACTCAAAAAGAAAAACCTAGAACAAAGAAGATGAACATTGAATTTTTCTATTATATACAACAATTGATGATATTCTTTTTATATTTTCACATTAATTTACTAAATTAAAGATGTTATATATTAGGCGTATCATAAGTTTGCTAGATTCACTGTTGTGTTGCACTCGTTGAGTATTTGTGGATTTAAATACAAAAATGTCAGCCTTTTGAATCTTTATTTTTATTAAGATTTCATGTGAGTTGGTCGGTGAGATGATATACTGTTTGTAGCGTCTCAAGCGGCGTGGTAACAAATGGTTTTATATTTAGAACTGGACCGTATCGGACCGTTAGAAATCTCGCGGTTACATTATGAATTTTACTAATTTATCGGATCGTTCCGGACCACCCTCACCCCTAATTTCTTGTACACACTTTCGTGACTCCTAGTTGCCTACGTACACAAAGAGCTTCTGAACGAGCTGCCTATGTATATAGGGCACTCGGGTGTGTACAAGAAATGTGTACTAACTTATTTAGTATGTGTACAATGCTTTTTCCGCCGAACAAAGGAGCAACCCATCGCCAATCGGTTTGACTTTGACGAACGCCAACTCCCAAGTGCCACGTCGCTGACTCACCAACCGCCGACGCTTAGCCGCCTGCCCTCTGCAACCTACCTCCGTGCGCCTCTCCCTGCCACTTGTGTAGTACGCTTGGCATGGTGGGTGGGTGGGGGGGGGCTGAGGGCCCCTGGCAGAGGGTATTTTTTATATATTTTTTTTGTATTATGTATAACTAGAAACAAGAAATTAGAATTGGTCTAGTGCATAAAACAATCTGGCCCAGTGCAGGAGCCAATCTGGCCCGGTATAAAAATTTGATCCATTGCTAATCTAAAAAAAGGATTGTGTTGACCGTTGACCTGAATGAACGCAGCAGAGCCGCACAAGAAGTCGATGAATTGGACGCTCACGCACGCCACAGCCTTCGCAGGACTCCGGAGACCGCCACACGTCCACACCGGTCGCCGCTCGCATCGCCGCTCGCCTTCAGTCTTCTGCGGCTTCAGGCATCACGGCTTCACCTTCAGGTAAAAAGGTACACCTCCAGACTCGTGTCCTGCAACCTCCTGATTTGGTTATTCCTTAACAGCTCAAGTCTTAGAGTGTTGCAATTTTTCTTTTGTTTAATATAATGATTTGATTAGTTCATTAATTGATTTAATTCATAGTTAATTAATGCTTATAAATGAATATTGAACAGTTGATAAATAATTACGGAGTAGTTGATATGTTGGCTCTTGTCCTGTTGACTGTTATTGTGTTATTAAGAGCCCATTTGGCAGCACGAAAATCGGCTGATTTGGCTGATTCTTCTGAAATTTATGAAGTTTTGGCCGAATTGATTGCATTGGCTGATTCTGTTGATTAGTATATTTTATTAATAAAATAAAGAAAAATTATATGCAAAAATAGCTAAAATGGTCATCTACAGTAACTTTAGCCAATACAGCAATAAAAGTAACTTTAACCTTACTTTTTCTCCTTATTACACAATTCAGCGTGCGAAAGCAAAATTTACATGTTTGGTGAAAAAGTTGGATGATAAGTTTGATAAGTCGAAAAACAGTGTTGCCAAACGGCCTCTAAATGTTTAAGTAATTTTATGAAGATATGGTTGATGATATCACTTCACAGTATTCAGCCAGAAATGTATTTAAGTATTTTTTTGAAACAGCGATTCTTCTATGTTTAATTTTACGAATTTAATTTTATTTATTTATTATAAAGGTCTTTAAATATTATTATTATGCATGTTAGTTTAAACATAAAAGGCTTTGACAATTTATTTTTAGGATTAATCCCATTAGAAAATATCTGCCCCATGACCTTCAAACAGACAGGACTGGCCCTGGTATGATGTTGACTATATGAAGTATGTAATTTATTTTACCAAATCCTGTATGTTTCCTCTATCTACCGCAACATTTTCCGCTATATTTGTATAGCGGTTTTGAGGCTTTCTTCTCTATGTCCATGTTGATTCATGATTAAATTTACTTTTAGTAGTGTGTGTGCTGAAGGGCATTTAAGCTTATCTGACAAATAAAAAAGAACCCCAAAAGAAACAAAAACACAGGAAAAAATCGAAAAAAGAAGATACATGATCTTATCCCTCTTCACAGTGCTTAATATTAGTAATAAATAGTAGTAATATTAATGTATATTATCAGTAACTAGTATACCACTCGTGAGATGCACGGTATGGAATATTATCCTAAATAATTATTAGTAGCTTTTATCATTAAATTTGTAGTATACTGATAAGAATACATAATTATACGGAGTATGATTGTATGAAATGAAAAAATTCATCAATATGCCAATATGGAATTTGTAGTAACTATATCATCTTAAATTATCATGCAGCTCTAGTATTGCAAAATATGGTCAAGCATAGAACACATTTCTCGCACTAAAATAAAATATAGCCTTTGTGACTCCTATATATGTACCCAACCAAAGTGAAAAAACTAATAAGCCTGGGTATGTTATATCTACTGCATCAGGTTCATAGATGAAAAGATCAACTAGATCGGATTGGACATGTTAACAGAGTTGGACATTTAAAAGATGCAAAATCTACACCGGTTGATTATGAAGACAAAGGCCGTGGAACTACAATCAGCTTGTTATTGCCCCAATCAGCAGCAATTTGGATCCCTTTCCGCATCTTTTGTCTTCGTAAGATATTTCTTCACAATTTCTCCCCCCTCCCCCCTTCCCAAGTATAAGCTGAGCTTGGTGTATTGCAGCATCTGAGCAATCATTTGTACTAATGAAAGTAGAGGATTTCTAATTGTTGTTGTTGAGAGTAACAAACCATTTTGTCCCAGTAGCCTTGTAGGTACTTTTCTTGGCGAGCATTGTATAACTTTCCGTGCTCCACTAGCCGCAACTTGTAGAACTCAATGGCACAATCAACCTCGCTTCTTGTATTGGGAACTGTAGGGAGAAATAGCCTCTGGAATATCTACCTTAAAAGTACAAGACTCAGTTCATTGTCTTTCAGATACAAGTACACTCAACAAAGAGCACTGTCAAACTCACACACCACAAACAGTGAAGATCCAATTTTGCCTGTTCTAATCATTGGTGCGGGACCTGTTGGACTTGCTCTCTCGGTACTCCTCACCAAATTAGGTACTCATCTCCCCCTTTTGAGCATATAAAAATCTTATGTTTTCAATACTATGATTTCAGTCGCTCTACTTGTTATCTATTTTACGTAAACCCAAAGTAGATTTGCATCGTAGTCACTTCATCAGGTTTGTATTTCGGGCTTTGATTTACTCATCTCATTCATTGTTTTTTAAGGTGTGAAATGTGCAGTCTTGGAAAAGAACAAGGTCTTCTCTAGGCATCCTCAAGCCCATTTTATTAACAATAGATCAATGGAGGTTGGAATTTATTGTTTAGAATGTGCTTTATTGTATTGTCTCATAATTTAACTGAGGACTTGTGGTTTGAGAAAGCATTTTTTAATGCAGAGTTTGCTTATAGGTTTTTCGAAAAATGGATGGCCTAGCAGAAGAGGTTCTGAGGTCTCAACCGCCAGTGGAGTTTTGGCAGAAGTTCATTTACTGTACTTCTCTTACTGGTCCTATTCTTGGCTCTGTTGATCATATGCGATCCGAAGGTATAATATAGTACTGAGCAGTCATATTTGAATAAGTATTTTAACGGTACAAGTTGTACAACTGGTGGAAGACAGTTCTTTCATATCTTTTCTTGAGAGTGCTATGCTTTATGCACTTCCATATACTTCTCTTTTATTCAGATTTCGATCATGTTGTGAGCCCCGTCTGTGTTGCACACTTTTCACAGTACAAATTGATCAGATTGATGTGCGAGCAGCTGAAAGAACTTGGATTTCATATTGGGAGCAATGAAGGGCGTAGAATGCATGATGACATTGTTTCAGAGGGGCAGCTACAAATGGGGCATGAGTGCATAGCAATACAGCCCAGCAATGATTTTGTTACTGTGAAGGCATCTTTTCACGAGGAAGGAAAGTCTACTCAGAAAAACATACAGTGTCAGTTCCTTGTCGGTACAGATGGGGCTGGAAGTACAGTCAGAAAGCTAATGGGAATAAATATGAAAGGGGAAAAAGACTTGCAGAAACTTATCAGCGTCCACTTCATGAGCCACGAATTGGGGCAATACCTCATCAATGAGAGACCAGGGATGCTGTTTTTCATTTTTAATGAAAAGGCTATAGGTGTCCTTGTTGCCCATGATCTCAGGCAAGGGGAATTTGTCTTGCAAGTATGCATCTAAATGGAATCATTTTGACATTTCTGATTTCTTTACAGTGCATAAGAAAACTCACACTACTTTCGGTTTAAATTTGCAGATACCATTTTATCCACCTCATCAAAGGCTTGAGGACTTCAGCTCAAAGGTATACCTCTCTGCAGCTCTGCTTGCTGAGAAGTTTTGTATGTATGAACATGTTAACACAACATGATGTTTGGTTTCTTTCCATATCTTGCTGCACTCTATGAAATTTGTAAGGATACTTGGTAACCTTGTTTTTATGATCATAATGCTACAGATATTTGAAATAATTTATGAGTTGGTCGGGCAAGAACTTTCAGACATCAATGTGGTAGACATAAAGCCCTGGGTAATGCATGCTGAAGTTGCGGAGAATTTTCTGTCGTGTGGCAACAGAGTTATTCTTGCTGGTGATGCTGCACACCGTTTCCCCCCTGCCGGAGGGTTTGGTAGGCAATTACTCTTATGTATCCATTTGTTTGTGTAATTTTAGGTGGTTGTATGTTGTCCTTTTAAATCAATCATCATACACAAAATAGCTCTCGACCAGTCAAATCTAGCAAGTCTGAAGCTATTTAGGCTGTGAAGGTTATGGATTACTTAAATTGGCCTTCTTTAGCTTATCTGGAACCTTTGGTTTTCAGATTCATAGTCTCTGGACCAAATTAGCAGTTTGGCTTTTTGGTGCACATGCCCTCATTTAATGGTCTGTTTTGGTTGGAAAGAAGGAATTTGTAGGGTAGTAGTAGATGTTCATTCTTTAGGAGTAGAATGTGAGAAATATCAAAGGTTCATATTCCATTCAGTTTTTGGTTTCATTTTGAATGATCAAGGAACAAATTTTACAGACCAAAATGCCCATACTTTTAATAAACATACACCAATTGCTTTGTCAATGACCAATTTGTGAACAGACATTTTTTTTATATCTTGAGTGACACCTTTTGCTTCTCAAAGTACTGGAAACCCCTATAGCATGGGGAAGCTAGGGAAGAATCACTCTTCAACTTTGCGAGGTAAAAAATCTTCGAATAAAAATCATTCCTCAATTGGCTTTGTCAATGAAATGTTGGAGTATTGCGTTTTTGGGAATAAAAAAAGGAACACAATATTTTCCCTTTTACCAAACAAGATGTTAGAGGAAGAATACCTAGTGACTTTAGCCATCTGCATGATGGGAAAGATCTCCCATGAACTTATACTTGAAGCCATCAGCTAAAGTGCTAATCACACTATGTTTGTGCCCGGATTAACTATAGCTATACATACAATTATGCAACAACTAATTGGTATGGGCTGAGACTTAAGCTTTACTGACTTACTGTTGATATGAATATATGATGAAATGGAACTATTGTAAGATTCTTTATGCCATTTCAGGGATGAATACTGGTATTCAAGATGCCCATAATATTGCATGGAAATTAGCTTTAGTTTGTAAGGGTATTGCACCTGCATCATTTCTTTCCACATATGAAGTAGAACGTAGACAGGTATTGCCTTTTCTGGATTATCAGTTCTTCAAATTCCCTAAACCCCTCGCCCACCCCCTGAAATGTGGCATGTTTAGTTACCATTGTGTAGCATTATAGCTTTGGCTTGCAGTTTTCATATACTCATACCTGAAATTGTTAGATTGCCAGTTTTAATACGTCACTCAGCGTCCAAAACTTCAAAGCAGCAATGAGAGTTCCTGCTGCACTTGGTCTTGATCCAACCATTGCAAATGCAGGTAAAATGTGTGCTTCAACATTCATATATTATCTACATGTATGCTAATGTACTCTGTGATGTAGTGGTATGGATAATGAGGTATCAACTTCCTTGCAGTACATCAAACTCTTAATAACACTCTTGGTTCCATTATACCATCTGGACTACAAAAGACTATCTTAGATGGAATTTTTAGCATAGGCCGTGCACAGCTTTCTAATCTTGTTTTAAATCCAAATAATCCGCTTGGATCTGCTAGACTTGAGAAATTAAGAGAAATATTTGAGGAAGGACAAAGCCTTCAGCTCCAGTTCCCTGCTGAGGATATTGGTTTCAGGTAGATGTATTGAAAAAAATGCTTACATTGAATTGATTTTGTGCTCTTATCAAGTTGGTTCTCTTAACCTATATGTTGTTATCCATTGATTCATAATTCAAACATCTTCTGATGCATGTAGTTTTTGACTAGTTTCTCAGGAAGGCTATTTTTATGGTTAACTGAACTTTCTGCTCTTACGGTTTCTCTAATTTGTATTAGGTATCTCAGAGGAGCATTGGTGCCTGATGGAGATGATGTGTTGACTAAACCCGAAACACCCACAGGGAGAAGAAAGGAATTTGTGCCCTCTGCAGATCCTGGATTCAGATTGCCACACATGAGTGTGGCAGCATTATCAAATTCAAGTAGCAAGGTATTGCTTTATTTCTTCATCTGCTGTTGCAGTAACTTATTATAATCATTGGGGTGGTTTAGCATGGTCCGATGGGTGATGTTGAAACTATTATCATACGTTCTTTAATGTGGAAATTCAGGCTCTTCACTTTAGAATTTCCGCCACATCTACACATTTAGATGGAGTATATTTTGTGGTTGCTTTAAAATGATAGAAAGAACATCATTTGCAGGTAACATTTTCTACATTGGACTTGGTATCAGCAGATAAGGTTGAGTTTCTTCTCATTATAGCACCGGTCGACACGTCCTACCATCTGGCTGTAGCGGCATTCCAGGTGGCCGAGGAATGTAAAGTTCCTCTGAAGGTATGCGTCATGTGGCCCGGAGAAACTACTGGGGGAGCAAAAGGCAGAACCAAAGCTGCATTGGTACCTTGGGAGAATTTCGTAGATGTTTTGGAAGTTAAGAATCCACGAAATCCATCGTCTTGGTGGGACATCTGCAAGATGACGGACAAGGGAGCTATTTTAGTGAGGCCTGATGAACACATTGCCTGGCGGGCAAAGTCTGAACTTGCTTGTGATGCCTCTGCGGCTGAGATGAGAAAGGCTTTTCATGCAATCCTTAAAGCTTAAGTGCTTAACATACCCGCCTCTCCATTTGCTACGTTAGGTCTCCGGTTTTATCTGTGATATTATGTTTGAATAATAATATTTGTGATGTCTACAGATTTGATTTTCAGTTTTCTCGCTTTCCTCTATTCGAGGCATCTTCTTTAATGTTATTGAAATAAAACTCGTTGAGAAAATAAAATTACATCATTGTACATTGGGAAAACATTACTATAGTTAGTGAAATGTAAAAGTAGAACATGTAATAATGGTAAATATTATTCTGATTTTGTTTATTCAATTGAGTTTACTAATTATTTAATTAAAGGAGTTTTATGAAAAAGACGCACGGTAAATCAAGTAGGGATGATGATTGTGACTTATCTTAGGGAAACTGCTTTGGTCAAAATGGGAAAACTACATTGATTGAGTCACGCATATGAGATGGTGAATAATTGTTTTATTTTTATGGGTAAGGGTGTGTTTACGGTTTTATACATGCTCTTTCTATTACCCGCCCATATCAGTTCCGTTTATTTTTAACCGCGAAAGCTATAGTGACAGAGGGTGACAGAAGATTTCCCCATCAAAACTTTTCTATGACGGTTTTTCATCTTTTAAATACAGTGTCTCCCGTCACAATTAAATATTTTTCTTGTAGTGATAATAACAAAAACCGCCACTTATTATGAAAATGCTACCACATATATGCTAAATCTTATGCATTTGTGACATTACTATAGCTATCAGATTTCAATTTCAATGCACAAAAATGATTCATATATTTTACATTTTAAAACGATATTTTATTTGGGGATGGAGGTAACAAATGCACTTAAAAGTAGACATAATATACAAATAGGCTTGGACCCGGTTCGGGCCACCCGACCCGGCTCGGTACTGTGCGGCCCCGGCCCGGGAACCGGGAACCGATTCCGGGTCTAAGCCCGGTTTGGGGTGGGTAATCGGGTCGGGTACGGGCTTAGGTAAATGAGAACCGGCCAGGCCGGTTCCGGACCCGGTTCGGGCCTTTCCATTTTTGTTTTTTGTTTTTTGTTGGTTTGGGGGCCTGGGGCTTTGGGCTGGGTTTAAATGGGCTGGAATGGGTCTTTCAGATGGGTTTGTGGGATGGGGGTAGGGGATAAAAATAATCAAGAAAAAAAAAAATATAACCGGTCTCAACCCGGCCTGGTCCCGGACCGGCACCGGTCTGCTTCTGGGCCGGTCCCAGGCCTAACATAAATTTTTTTGGCCCAGCCGGGCCTAGGCCCGACCCGGGCCGGGAATCAGTTGAGTCCATGACTACATACAAATAAAGTACTCTGTACAAGTTATTAGGGAAATAGCCTTAAAAATGGAGTATTTTATTTGTATAGGTCTATCATGTTTTTTGCTAATAAGTCTATCATGTTTTTTGCTAAAAAAAAGTCTATCATGTTTTAATTTCCTAAATTGTACTACGTCCCGTTGGAAGGTTCCCATAACAAAACGGCACAGTTATTTAGACAACAATTAAATAAAGTACTTCGAGTATATTTTGAGAAATAATTTAAATAGGTATATATTATAATGTAGTTAGTATTGATAACTGTGATGTTATAAATGTTTTATTTTTAATATTTAATGATTAATTTGTTAATTAAGATTGTTAATTATTTCCCAGAATGAAAATGAAAACATTTATATGCGACGCCCAAAAAAGGAAAGTGGGAGCAAAAATATTCAAGCTGAGAAGTAGTAATCATTATCATGTTTTGGCTGATTTAAAACATGACTATTTTTCGAGTTTGACAGCAATAACTTCTATTTAGAGAACAAAAAATATGTCGATCTTATTTTGGAATTCTCAAACATTTTTACTCCTATTTCGGGAATATTCTCAACTTATTATTATTTCAATTTATATGCGTAATTTTGTTCTTTTTTTCTCAAAACTTATATGTTCACGTGAGCATAACAAGTGAATCTGCCATTGAGGGTTAGTCTTCGTTCTGCATTACCATTATTTTGTGTTTCTATTGACGAAATAAGCAGCAGTAATAGTACAGATTGGAGGGAAGCCCTATATCCTTCGGAGCCTATAGGCAATTCTACTACTACCTCCGTAACATTGGGATGTTCCCATTTGAAAAGTAGGTAGATTAAGAATAGTGAAAGTAGATATGTATTATTAGGGGTATGATAGGAAGATAGTGAAATAATGTGATGGAATGAAGGATAAATCCAAAAAAAGTAGGTGTAATAGTGTATTATTTTTAAAATTATTGAGGGTATGATGGGAAGATTTAGAAATGGGAAGATATTAATGTTACGTCCAAAAAAGGAAAGTGGGAAAATATTTAGGTTACGGAGGTAGTATTATAATAAAGAAATTGTAGATTTTACTTCTTTAAGCTATAATAATGTATACTAGCAATATGTGAAAAACATAAATACGTAAATACTTGACTTTCTTTAGTAATTATATTATACGTAGTATATTGGAATCTTAGAATTGAACAAAATTAACAATATGGTTTCTGAATAAAAAGTAATAACATACAATTATAACTTCAAAGAATTTCCAACACACCATATCGTTGCAAAGCAAAATTGATGACAGCTAACAATCAAATTTCCCAACTTATTATCTTCACTTATTAATACGGAGTGTTGTTTATCCATTGGTTCCTTCTTGAATTGTTATTTTATTGACCATAAATAGTTTTATAAAGTCATTAATTTTTAAATACTTTTCTCTACCGTTTCGACATTTACCAGTAACTGTTGTATTCAGACTTAGACCCAATTTTTCAACGAAATTAAATTTTCTAATGGTTGTGTTTGTTTCATCATGCAATAAACGTTTTGACTTTTTACATTCTTTTCATATATTTTTTGAGAAAACCTTTTCTACAAACTTTTATTGTTTATATATGTCTGTTATTTTTTTTTGTCTATGAATACACACTTTTCACATATAAAAGTGTACACAGTAAAGTGTATAGTAAAGTGTATACATTGAGAATTGTTGATTTTTTCACTGGAAAAAAGGATCGATGACTTTAGGGCTTGACTAAGCTTCTACTCCACTCACTTCACGTAACTAATGAATGAAGACTTTATTTTTTGATATTGGAAATATAAATAATACTCCCTCCGTCCCGTTGGAATGTTCCCCGGTTTGACCTACACACATATTAAGGAAATAAACTTATCAGGGGGTAAATTTTACTATTTTGACACTGTTTGACACTGTTTTACACTGTTTGACACTGTTTTGATGGAGGATAACTTTCCATTTAGGGAAATGGGAACTTCTTTTTGGGACATCCAAAAAAGGAAAGCGGGAACATTCCAACAGGACGGAGGGAGTATTACGAATCAACTTGTATTCATTTCAATTTTAGATGTAGTCGTGCTAACTTTTAGAAATCATAACTTTTAACTCATAATGAGTTACATACGACATAATATCAGTATAAAAGAACACGAGATTGACAAAGATTTTTCACACGCATACTCGAAATTGGCAAGGATTTTGGTAGGAATATGTAAAATTCGTGCAAAAATCAGTTTAACATGAACTATTTGATACAGATTCATTTGTAGTGTAGATGCGAAATCAAAGATATTTTTCCTCTAGATTCTCTAATTTTCAGGGGGTTAGGATGTTTTCTTTTGGACTGAAATTTGCTGGTTTGGTCTGAGCTGGTGTGGTCTGGTCTGATCTGGTCTGAACTGGTCTGGTCTGATTTGGTCTGGTAAACATTTGGTCTCTGTGTATTTTATATATAACTACGGAAGTCAAGTCTGGTCTGGTCTGATCTGGTCTCATCTGGTTTGGTCTGATCTGATATGGGACTGAAAACATTCCAAAAGAAATCATCCTCAGTCGATCACTCTGACCCTGTTTATATGCGAGACCCAAGATATGTAAGTGTAAGTACAACTCAACGGTAAATATAGCCCGGATAAGAAAGGTTGTGGCCCAAGCTGAAATGAAAAAATACTCCCTCCGTCCCTTAAAACTTTGTCAATTTTCTTTTTTTGGATGTCCCGCTAACTTTGTCATTTTCCATTTTAAGTAAAGAATTTGTGGTTCCAATTAATTCTCTCTCCTCTGCACAAAACTTAATCACACACTTTTTACTTTATTAATCCTCGTACCGGTCAAACTTGGTCAAACTTTATTAAGGGACAGAGGTAGTAAAAGTACTACGTATATGTATGGTCATATAAATCTAGCCCACTCTAAAAAGGTACTACCTCCGTAATTGATATATCTTCCCATTTGAAAAGTATGTGTAGGGGTGAGCATGGGACGATACAGGACGGTTATTTTGAAAAACCTGTGCCGTTCCAAAGTACGGTTCTTTTAAAAATCAAGAACCGGTACCGTCCCGCATATTTATAGAACCTATCCCGTTCCGTACCAATTTTCGGTACGGTTCGGTACGGTTCTTCAGTGTTATTTAGTTCCTAAATAATTAACCCCCATGAAATATAAAAAACTTTAGATTTTAACATTAATAAATAACTCTACAAAAATTTAAGAGAAGAACTTGCAAGACTACATTTAATTGATCTTGTGTGATCAAATTGAAATATGAAACTAATAATCAAACTATAATAAAGAAAAGTAACATCCAAACTAAAAAGCAAAATTGATCGTCAAACTAAAAAAACCAAAAAGTATCACATCACATGACAAAGAATATGCAAGAGTGCACATTTGTAATGACATACGGTCACCGACATTTACACTCGGTAAATATATTATATATAATACTCCGTATATAATATATAATTATATTATAACACTAGTTTTCGGGACAATTCAGTACGGTATGAGACGGTTCGGTTCAATACGGTTCCGAGACGGTTCCGGAACGGTTCTCACTAAAAACCGGTATCGTACCATCTTATTAAAAAAGCTCGGTACTGTACAATACGATATTACATTTTTCCGGTTCTACCGGTTCTGGAACGGTTCGGGACGGTTCTTCGGTACGGAACAGGAATTCCCAGATCCGCGCTCAGCTCTAAGTATGTGAGTTTAAGAATAGTGAAAAGAGATTTAAATTATTGAGGGTATGATGGAAATAATGAAATAGTGTGCTGGAATGAAGATAAATTCAAAAAATGTAGTTGTAATGGTGTATTGTTTTTAAAATCATTGCCAGTATGATGAGAAAATTTGAAAATGAAAAGATATTAATGTTACGGCTAAAAAGGGAAAGCGTGGAGATTGTTAGACTTGGAGACCCAAAACTGCACTGAGAAACAAAAGACTGAATATTTATTTAGAAA